GCATGTGCGTGTGCGTGTGCGTGTGCGTGTGCGTGTGCGTGTGCGTGTGCGTGTGCGTGTGCGTGTGCGTGTGCGTGTGCGTGCGTGCGTGCGTGTGTGTGCGTGGGTGTGTGTGTGTGTCAGCGTGGACCCCGCAGAAAGAGTTGATGCACCGTTGATGTGCAAGGTATGTGGTGCAAGCTATATTGTGTAAGATGTGTGGTGCGCTCTGCGTGAGGCAAGCTGTGCGAGCTGTTCATCACGCCTGTGTAAAAGATGTGGCGCAAGATGTGTGGCGTACCATGCTCGGTGCACATTGCGATTCGTGTGTAGCTATGTTGAGCATGCACATATTCAGCATATAAACATCTAGTTAGCGTGGGCCTCGAACATTGACTTGTTGCGTTGTTGTGTTGGACCGCGAAGGAGAAAGACATGCGGTACACACTATGCGGTGTGAGCTATTTGGTGTAATAGATGTTGTGGCTTATTTGATGTCAGCTATGTTGTGTGTGACATCTACGAGGTGTAAACTGTGCGGTGTGAGCTGCGCAGTGACAGGATATGTGCTTGGAGCGAGGCGAGTAAAAGGCCCTGCGGTGTGACCTATGTGGTGTGAGCTGTGCGGTGCTGGCTAGGTGGTGTGAGCTGCGTGGGGGGAAAGCCGCCCGCGAAGCTGTGCGGAGCAGGCTGCGCCGTGCAAGCTGTGTGGTGTGAGCTGCGTGGTGCGCAACATGCGGCACACGCTGCGCGGCTCCCGCTCGTGGGGCCGGGCCCACGAGGCGCCCACGCAGCGGGAAAAACGGGCGCGCGCACGCTGCGCGCGAAACCTCGGGGAGCCCGCCCAGCGCACGGGGCGCCCCGAAAGAGGCGCACCCGGCGCCTGGGGCGTCCACGAGCGGGCACGGGCGCGGACGAAGGGAAACAAGCTAGGGAACCCTCGGGAAACCCTTTTTTGCTTCGCGGGTCGAGAGCGCACCTCTTCCAGTCGAAGCTGAGCGGGCCGCGCAGAGCTTGCATTACGCAGAGAAGGGGAAGGAGAAGGAGGGCGCAGCCTCAGAACGAGGGGGGGGGAGGGGGAGGGGCAGGAGGAGGAGGAGGAGGAGGAGGAGGAGGCGTAGGAGGAGGAGGAGGAGGAGGAGGAGGAGGGGAGAGGAGGAGGAGGAGGAGGAGGAGGAAGCAGGAGGAGGAGGAGGAGGAGGAGAGGAGGAGGCACGTCTCGGGAAACAGACACAGAGGGCCACCAGCGGGCACGGGCGCCAACGCGGCGACACCAAGCCCACCCAGCGCACGGGGGCGCCGACGGGGCGCCGGCGACAGCGTTCCTGACGTCCTCATCGTCATCGCCCCCCTCAGCAGCAGCGTCATCACCACCAGAATCACCATGATCACCAGTCATCCGAGTCATTGTCAGCGTCATCGCGATGCTCCCCATCATCATCGTCGGCGTCGGCATCGTAGTCGTCATCGTCGTCTTCGTCGTCGACATCATCCTCATAATCAGAATCAGCATCAGCACCATCGTCATCCTCCTCAACCTCATCATTACCATCATCATCACCATCACCATCACCATCACCATCACCATCATCATCATCATCATCATCATCATCATCATCATCATCATCATCATCATCATCATCATCATCATCATCATTATCATCATCATCATCATCATCAAACTCATCATCACCATCATCATCACCATCATCATCAACCTCATCAGCCTCGTCATGAGCAGCAGCATCAGCAGCAGCATCCTCCGCCTCCTCGTCGTCGTCGGTAGTCGTCGGTCGTCGTCGTCAAGTCGTCGTCATCGGTCGTTGTCGTCGGTTGTCGTCGGCGTCGTCGTCATCACCAGCAGTGGCACCATCATCATCATCATCATCATCAGCAGCAGCATCATCAGCATCAGCAGCATCATCATAAGTCATAAGCATGAGCAGCGGCAGCAGCATCAGCAGCACCACAAGCAGCAGCATCATCATCATCATTATCATCTTCATCTTCATCGGCATCATCATCATCATCATCATCATCATCAACATCATCATCATCACCATCATCATCATCATCAGCAACATCATCATCATCATCATCATCATCAGCAGCATAAGCAGCAGCATCATCATACGCATCAGCGTCAGCATCGTCATACTCATCGTCATGATCAACATCAGCGTCATCACCGTCGGCATCATCATCCTAATCATCACCAACATCAACAATGGTATCAGCAGCATCATCAGGAGCAGCAGCATCATCCTCATCATCAACATTACCAACAGCATCATCATCGTCAGCAGCATCGTTATCATCACCAGCAGCATTTACAATCTCACATAGTTCATCCATGTCGTCCAGATCGTCAGCATCATCATCATCATCAGCAGTATCATCATCATCATCATCATCATCATCATCATCATCATCATCATCATATTCATCATCATCTTCATCTTCATCGGCATCATCCTCGGAAACCTTAGCATCATCAGCATCGTCAGCATTACCATCCTCATCGTCATCATCATCAGCAGCATCATCAGCATCATAACCATCATCATAGTCATCATCAGTATCATCATCAGCAGCAACAGCATCAGCATCATGTTCATCATCATCAGTATCATCATCATGAGCATTATCAGCATCAGCATCATCAGCATCACAATCACCACCATCAGCATCAGCGTCATGACTATCACCATCATCAGCGGCATCATCGAAAGCATCATCATCAGCATCAGCATCATTATCAGTACCACCATCATCATCATCATCATCATCATCATCATCATCATCATCATCATCATCATCATCGTCATCAGCTTCATCACGTTCATCAGCTTCTTCATCATCCGCACCATCATCAAAATCATCATCAGATAATCATCATCATCAGCATCGCCGTGATCATCATCATCATCACCACCACCATGATTTATCACCAGCCTCATCATGTTCATCATCAGCATCATCATCAGAATTATCATCATGATAATCATCCATCCATCATCCCTCCTCCCTCCCTCCTCCCTCCTCCCTCCTCCCTCCCTCCTCCCTCCTCCTCCCCCTCCCTCCTCCTCCCTCCTCATCCTCCTCCTCCCTCCCTCCTCCCTCCTCCCTCCTCCCTCCTCCCCCCTCCCTGTCCTCTCTCCTCCCTCCTCCCTCTGGATGTGCGTTTCTTCTGGCGCTGCCGCGGGCGGCGGCGTCTGTCCTGCCACCTCGACTGCAGCGACGTCCTCGCCGGCGTCGGACTGGATGCTGACGACCACTGGCGCCGCCGAGGGGGGGAGGGCCAGCTTTCGGAAGCCCGCGAGGATGTTTTGGGTCGACGGCGCCCCCCCTTCCCGCACCTCTGGTGACGGCTCCCGCCTCCCGCGCCGCCCCCTGGGATCTCCGCGCGTCAGGAGGGGGTGTGGGGAGGGAGTGCATCGCCGACGCCAGAAATCCGCGCAAACCACCGAACCATCAACACCCCCTTCCAACTCCTACTCCGCCTCCTCCTCCCCAGTCAGCCTCTTCAACGACAACCTCATCCCCCTCCTCTCACCTCCTGTCTTACCCTCCATCTCTACCCAATACTCCATCCCCTTCCTGTTCCTACACCTCCTCCTCACTCCTGCTCCACCTCATCCTTCCTTCCTCCTCCCTCATTCTCCTAATCCGGAGGAGGAGGAGGAGGAAGAAGTAGAGCAGTCAGATGAGCAGGAGCTGGGCAAGTTTTCAGCAAAGGCCTAACAGCCCTTAGCCGAACATACCCATTCCCACACGCCTGACCTTGGTGGGCACCTGCTCAAAAAGCAGCCAGGTGCCATGGCCGCAATTGGAGGAGCTGCGATGAGATGGGCAGATCCCCCTCCTTCCCTGCTCCTTCCTGCTGTTACTGTTCCTCCGAAACCCACCAGAAATCGCCCGACGACCATCCCCGAATGACTCCACAGACGTCCCAAAGACCTCCGACAGCCCAGCGCCCTTCTCTCTGCTCTGAGAGCCTCTTCCCTCCCTCCCTCCCTTGAGGGGGCAGGCAAGGGGGGAACTGGCTAAGGGGGGAAGCGTCGATCTGGAATCGGCGACACATCGCCGGTAAATCGGCGATAGGCCCCAGGTAGCGAATCCGCATGCTCCAGGGTGGAATGAGACTGCTGGGCCCCCGTCGGCGATGAATGGGCGGTTCGGGGTCGATGCATCCCCCCTAAGCCCATCCCTCCCTTGGCATTGCCCCTGACCTTTTCCTGACGCTGACGCTGTTGGCGGGTTCGTCTGGTCAGAGACGTCATCTCGCCCTCCTCCTCCTCCTCCTCCTCCTCAACTCCTCCTCCTCCAATGGGCACCAGCTCTGACTTGGGAAACCCCAGACAGCAAATCGTATACCCCCTCGCGATATCGTTTGTGCCAAAACTGTTTACTTGGTGCGGCGGGCTCAGACGATATCGTCAGCACATGAATGGAATGAAGAATCATCGGTGGTTGCGACACCCTGGGACCTTGCCAACACGGAATAAAGATGGTGGAGACGCTAATGCCGCAGCATTTTACGGCGCACAGCGACAATGAATTTGCAGGAAAGCGAAGGGGAAAGTACAGGAAGCCCTGAGGATCAATGCGAAGCCGAGGGAGTTTGTCAAACACTTAAGCATCAGATCAGCACTTTCCTGATATGGCATATCGGCGGTGGACAAACCTCCGTTTTAGTAAACCTCCCCTTAGTGAAAACGGCCTGGGATCGAAACCGACGGCACTGGACCCGCAAAAATGACGGCCGCGACGCCTTCTCGCGAACCGAAAACGGCCAATTCCTTAATCGACGTGTCAGGGTAGGAGGTCTGTCCACTCCCGAGCATAGGAGCCCGTTTCAACGGTGAAACCGCCCGCCTGTAGTCTGGGGCCCCGGCCAGATTGCACCTGTGCCATCTCGGAGGCTTCAGACTGGCCACGTTGGCCGCCGTGGAGGTCCAGCGCGCACACACAGGAATCTCGAACAAATATCGGGGATGGACAGACCTCCCTTTAGTAAAACGTGGTTTAGTGAAAACGACCTGAGGCCCAAACCTGGCGGGCGCAAGCCTGGAAAATGACGGCCGCGGCGCCCTCTCGAGAACCGAAAACGGACAATTCACCAATCGACGAGAACCGAAGACGGACTCATGAGTGCGAAAGAGACCTGGCGGGGATCTCAAAGAAAACCCAACGGAGCCTCAGAGGAATCACCATGGATCCGATCGGGTGCAGGAGCGCACCGGCAGTGATGGAAACACTCCCTGTACTCAAAGGTTGCGCAACTTTCGCTCCGACCATCTAAAATAATCCCAGCCCTGTAGCGCGTGAGTGAGTTAGAGCGTTTCCGCATCTTCCACCCACCCATCCACAGTGCCCCCTCCCCCTGGGTCTGGAGGAGGGTTCGCGACCGATTGAGGTAATGAGCCCATTTTGGCCTCCGGGCGGGGGCGATGCCAATCTAGTACCCAGCCTTCAATCATCGACCTCCTCCAAGATTGCCCCAAAATCCAAAGAGGACCCCAAGAGGCTCCCAAGAAAGTCCCAAGAGCCCCCAAGAGGCTCCCCCAGGACACCCAAGACGCTCCCAGAGGCCCCCCGGACCGCCAAGAGGCCCCAAAGACGCCCCAAGAGGACTCCCCAGGAACTATTGAAAGAAATCCGAAGAGACCCCGAAAGGCATACAACAGGCATCTAGTCTTTCTGCTCGCCCTTCTCCACCTCCTCCTCTTCCCCAACCCCGTATTTTGCGGCATGCTCCTCCAAATCCCTCAACAAGGCTGGTGGGGTTACGCGAAACGTCTAGACATTAGGATCCCCAGCTCTAGACATGAGCGCCTGGTTGGAGAAATCTTTCGCGGGCCTCTGCGGAGGAAATCGCTTCCGCCTTGACCAAGACGCAACAATCGCTGTAACTCGAGTATTGGAGTACCGCGTGTCGATGGCCAGCCAGAGATTGTATGAGCCCCGCTATCCAACATCCTCCTTCCACACACACACACACACACACAGACACACACACACACACACACATACACACACAGACACACACACACACACACACCACCACCACCACCACCACCACCACCACCACCACCACCACCACCACCACCACCACCCATATTGTCTTACCCTCATCATCATCATCATCATCATCATCATCATCATCATCATCATCATCAGCATCATCATCATCAGCATCATCATCAGCATCATCAGCAGCAGCAGCAGCATCAGCATCAGCATCATCATCCTCATCCTCGTCGCCGTCTTCGTCGACGTCATCATCATCGGCGTCATCACCATCATCAGCATCATCATAATCAGAAGCAGCATCATCGTCATCATCACCATCACCATCGCCACCATCATCAACATCATCATTATCAGCATCAGCATCAACATCAGGATAGACATCATCATCATCATCATCACATCAGCATCACCATCATCACCGTCATCACCATCATCACCATCATCATCATCACCATCATCACCATCATCACCATCATCACCATCATCATCATCATCATCATCATCATCATCATCATCATCATCAGCAGCAGCAGCATCATCATCATCATCATCATCATCATCATCATCATCATCATCATCATCATCATCATCATCATCATCATCATCATCCTCATCCTCATCCTCATCCTCATCATCATCATCCTCATCCTCATCATCATTAGCAGCAGCAGCAGCGTCGCAGCGGGCCGAAAGGGAGGCGGGGGGGGGGGGGGCGGGGCCGCGGCAACCGCCGCTCTCGAGCTCCGCGCACTGCCCAGGGCTCCCCGGCACCACGACGCCGGACCCGAGCGTCGTCTCCACGGGCAGGTCCCCAGTCGCGCCGTCCACCTGAGCGGCCGGCGGGCCGCTGGCCGCCCCAGAGGCCCAGGACCTCCGGCGACTCGAAAAGACCGCGCGTTCGACGCGCCTCCAGGGGCCCATGTGGCGACTCGACAAGGTCGCGTGTTCGGCAGTCAAAATTGGCGACGAGGATGGAGTTCAAGGATGCAAGAGCCTTCGAGCGGCGCGGAGGCCAAGGATGCGTGCGCCCAGACGCCCTAGGCATGGCCAGAACCGCAGGATGGAAGGCGCCCTTGCGGTGAGGGCCCATCCTTCACGCTGGATGTGACTGTACACGCCGTCAGGGCCACCCCAGGAGCCCTGAGGCCCAGACCTCTGGCTTTCTCTTCAGCGCCACCATCTTGCCCCATCCCGGAGGGGCCTCAGGTGGCGACGCAACGAAGTCGCATGTCTTGCACGCCTCCGGGGGCCCCCACGAGCGCTGAGGCCCAGACCTCTGGATTTTTGTGCAGCGCCACTTCCTGGCCCCTGGACCGTAGAGCGGCTCGGAGTTCGCCAGGCGCGGCCCCCCCGAGCGGCGGCGAGCAGCTCCCGACGCCGCGACGAGGATCCAGCAGGGAGGGACGATGACGAGGAGGGCGAAGGGAGGGACGGCGGCTTGCACTGAGGGTAATCATGATGCAGGCCGTCTAACGCGCAGGCTAACGGGAAGACGCTAGCCCATGCGATCCTCCTCATGCCAAACAGTTCAAGCTCCCCCGCGGGGCCGCTGGGCTTTCTCCAAAGCCACCAGCAGAAGCCAGAGGAGGAGCAGATGCCTCCTCCTTGGGACCTCGAGCGACACCGGACTCCTGCCCCAAAACCACCATCGTCCCCCAACGCCGCGAGCGAGCGCCCGAGCGCGCCGCGGGCAAAGAGGCCGAATCGACCGAACAGACCCCCCAAGGGGCAAAACAGCAGCTCCAGGTCGGTCGATTGGTTGTCATGCTGGGATGTACTTCGCATCTGGAAAGTGTGCCCAGAGGCTGAGGGGAAGAGAGACCCATACGTACAGGGGTCGGAAACAAGGCCGCGACGGGCGCAGCGGGGGCCCGTTTTCGGGCTCTGGGGCGATTGCAAGACGGCCCAGGACGAGGAATCAGCCCCGGGGATGGCGTGTCGACAGCTCCAGGGCACACTTTTGGTCTGCGGGTCGATAGCGGGCCTCTTCCGGTTAAGACCTAGGCGGGGCGCACAAAGCACTAATTGGGGAGACAGGGCGCGGGCGGGCGGGGCCTCAGGCGGCCGGAGGGCGCGGGGTGCAGGCGGTGCCGAAGAGCTTGCACAGGAAAAGGTACGCCTTGGACAGGAGCCGGAGACGAAGTCCCGGAGGAAGAGCGAAGTAATGTTGCCGTCGCGCTCCAGGGCACACGCTGTGAGCAAGAAGCACCGTATCGGAACTGTGGGGAGGGTGACCTGCGCATGCACCGTGGCACAAGCGGCACCAGAGGCCGGCACCCACGGCAGTGCGTCCAGCCGCCAAGGCAGCGCGCGACGGGTGCCGGCTGGTCCTGCTCGAGGGGAGGAAAACTCTGGCCATGACGACGATGTCGCGGGCTCGTGTCGACGCCGATCTTGGTCATGGTCAATGCCAGCCGTCGCCGACTCGCACAGGTGGTCCACGGATCGACGGTGACTTAGACGCGACGGTGACAAAGATCGACACAGGGCAGAAGGAAACCCGGGCGTAGAGCGGTGAGGGCAGGGTGGAACAGGGAGGAGTGAGCGAGGGAGCGATATGAAGGAGGGAGGGTAAGGAAGAGGGAAGGGGGAGGAAGGTGGGGTAAGGAGAGAGAAGGGGGCAGTAAGAGGAGTGAAGGACGGAGTGGGGTTGACTTGACAGAGCTGGTCGACTGAGGCTTGCGGGGGGGGTCGGCCTTTGTTCAACAAGCGAGCCCGAAACTCCACGCAGAGCCCAGATGTCTTCTCTTCGCCTACAGCAGGAGCTCGGCCCCAAGAAACCTGCCACAGGAAGCCCAACCCCGAGACCCCAGGATGTCCACTCGTTTTTGGTCCGGGGACGCCACGGCTCCCACGGAAGCGCCATCGAGTCCCAAGAAAAACCCAGGGCACCCTGGAGGGGCGCAGATATGCAGTGGAGGCCAGTCCACAAGAGATCTTCCACAAGAAACCCAACCCTAAGACCCCAGGACGTCCCTCGATTTGGGGTGTGGGAGCGTCACACTGCCCATAACAACACCACCGAAACCCAAGGATCCCAGGGCACCCCGGAGGCAAGCAGGGTGCTTCTTGGCATGGGTCTCCACGGTGCTTGCAGCCGTTGGGTCTTGGCATGCTCGCCCGAGGTTGCAGCTTGAGGAAGCCGGGAGCAGGGCAGCGAAGCAGACCTCTCAAGCACCGTGGACATGCGGCGCCGCGCTGCCCGCCCACCGCGCCCCCCCCCTCCCTTTCGCCCCGCTCCCTGACCTCGTGCTCCGCCCTCCTGCCCCTTGTCGTGGCCCCCCTGCTCCTCCCTCACACTCGGCCCTCGGCCCATTGCGCTCCTGGATTGCGCCGAGACCAACAATTCAGGGCGGATCCAGATAGTGGCGGCCAGGGACCCCAGGCGGCACAACAAGAGGGCCCAAGCAGATAGAAGTCTGAACCCGCCACCCCCCCCCCCTCAGCAACTTCCCTCCCCCTCGTACTCATCCACCACCGTGCAGCTCGGCACGCAGTGGGCGTGTCCTCGGGTCCTTTGCCTTGGCCCTCAAGCACTCCCGAGGAGTCTTTACGAGGCCCGGAGCCCAAATTCTCAAAGCTTCGTAGGCTTGCCGCGGTTCCCCTGGGCTCTGGCGCATCTTCTCGTGTGACTTTTTCGGGCCCACGAGAGCCCCAAGACGGGTCACGAGGGCCTCCGGAGGCCCTCGAGACGGCGAGGCCTCCAAGGCGCCTCAAGAGGCCTCGCAAGAGGGCCCCAAGAGGCAAAGATTACGGACATCCACCAATTGTGTTTAAAAGAGTTGAAGTTGTCGCCTTTTCTGCTTTCCGACGCCCCATGACGGCCCAAGGTGCCCCCACGACCAGCCCAAAACGGCCCAAGAGTCCTCCAAGAGGGCCCCAAGACGGCCTACGTAAGAGCGCCCAAAGACGGCCCAAGAGGCGGCAAAGACGGCCGAAGAGGGCCCCAAGACGGCCCAAAAAAGAGCCCAAGAGAGGGAACGCGAACCGAAAATCCGAGCCTTCCGCCCGAAGAGGTCCAAAGGAGGCCACAAGAGGCGCCCAAGAGGCCCCGTCAGGCGCCCAAGAGGCCCCAAAGAGGCCCCAAGAGCCCCCCAAAGAGGCATAAAAGAGGCGGGATGGGCCGAAGGCAATTCGATGCGTGCTGAACCCTATGCTCGGCTTGGTCTGGGTTCTTTGTCTGAGAGAGCTCCCCCTGGGGCGTCGACCGATGCTGCCACCCCGAAAGGCCTGCCCAGAGGTGCTTGCAAACGTTTTGCCCGCTCCAGATGGCTCCAAGATGGCCCAAGATGGCCTCCATGACGGCGAAGATGCCATCAAGTTCGCCCAAGATGGTCCAAGATGATCCAAGATGGTCTCCAAGACGGCCCAAGAGCGTCCAAAATGCCTCAGAGATTCCCCAAGAAGCCTCAAAGACGGCCCAGGATGGCTTTAAGATGGCGGAAGACGGCCCAAGGGGCCCCCAAGAGGCCTCCAAGACGGCCCAAGCGGTCACAAAGAGCGCCTCCAGGAAGGCCCGAAAGGGCCAGAATCATTGATCTTCTTGAGGTGAGTAAAGGATTTGAGTAATTGTTTCTTTTCGGCCTTCCGACGGCCCGAGACGGCCCAAGAGCCCCTAAAGATCGCCCCAAGATCGCCCAAACAGGCCTCCAAGATGGCCCCAGAACGTCCCAAGAGGCCGCCAAGACAGACCCAAGAGGGCCCCAAGACGGCCCAAGAAGGCACCCAAGACGGCTTTCGACGGCGTCAGACGGACCAAGAACGCCCCAGGACGGGCAACGAGGCCCCCGAGAAGCCCCCCAAAGGCCCCCGCGATACCCAAGGAGGCCCCCAAGATGCCTCCAAGAGGCTCCAGGGAAGCTCCCAGGAGGCCCCAAGAGTGACCTCAGAGACTCCCAAGATGCCCCCATCTCCTCCGCCTCCTCCTCCTCCTCCTCCTCCTCCTCCTCCTCCTCCTCCTCCTCCTCCTACACCTACTCCTCCTACACCTACTCCTCCTCCTCCTCCTCGCAGATGGCGCTCAGCGCCAAGCAGGAGCTCCAGGACACCCACTCTGTCGCTGCCAGGCGATCGTCCACTGTCCGAGGGGGCGACGCTCCAATTCTTTCTACGCCGCCCGTCTCTGCCACCGCCGCCGCCGCTCCCTCGCCTCCCCCCGCCGTCCGAGAGCGCCTTGCTGCCACTCGGGGCCGAAGCGCTCCGCAGACGGAGGTTTAGGAAGGCAAGCACGAGCACAAGAAGCCAAGCGGAGCTCGAGACGAGGCGACTCCCCCTCCGCGTCTGCCGTTTGTTTTCTCAGCACTCCACCTCCCACCCCCCCAGAGCACGAGCGGCGGCTCGTGCAGGCCGACCTGCACAGCTGAGAGGGCGGGAGGGAGGGAGGAAGGCGTGTGGGGGTCTCTCAATGTCTCCAGGCACCGAAGGACTGGCAGCCCGTCTTCGCCCGTTCTCCTCGCCTCGCCTGTTGTCCTGTCTCCTTCTGTCTCTGCTGCTCATTCCCTTCGTCTTCTTCTCCTCCTCATCCTTCCCCTCTTCCTCCTCCTCCTCCTCCTCCTCGTCCTCCCCCCCCTCGTCGTCCTCCCCCTCCTCCTCCTCCTCCTCCTCCTCATCATCATCCTCCTCCTCCTTCTCCTCATCTTCCTCCTCCTCCTCCTCCTCCTCCTCCTTGTCCTCGTCGTCTCTCTCTCTTTCTCTCTCTCTCTCTCTCTCTCTCTCTCTGGCACGAGTCTCTCTTCAGTGACCTGTCGAGGGGGGGGAGGTCAGCGACACCGTCCTGGCGCAGCAACACCAGGGGCCGGGGTGGCCGCCACTGTTTCTTCCTGGCCGATTCGATTCGGGTCGGCCTTCCGACATGCTGCAGGCTAACCAGGATGCCTGCACCCTCCCGGCAGAGCTCAGATGACTGCGCCACTCGAGATCCGCGACCGACCGACCGACCGCCTCCTCCTCCTCCTCCTCCCCGCCATCCTCCCCCAAAGGTTCCCCGAAGGGTATCCACAACGGCTAGGGGAACACATGGTCCGATAGCTTGACAGAGCTCTTTGCCACAACGCTCGGCCACATGGACAATTCCAAAAGGCAGGTGGCAGCGGTGATTCGCCGTAGGCGTCTTCGATACTCCTGCGCCTTCTCTTCCTCTGCCTGCTATTCCTTGTCATCCTCCTGCCCAGCCCCGCGCAGCAGGGTTCAGCCGCCTGGATCAGGACAAGGGTGACGACCTGCTTCTGGAGGTCCAAGCGTGACACGTTACCGAGGTCGAAGCCGGATATCCCGTCGTGAAACACGACCTACGAGCAAGCAGAGGCGGAACGCGTCTCACTCGTGGGTGGGAAGACAGGAGGATGGCAAGGTAGGAGCGCTCGAACCATATCTGACACCTTAAGCATCCCAGCCAATCCTTCCTACTGCGCTGGACTCGTTTGTGTCCGTGCGGTATCCTGGGGGACCTGAATCTCCTCTGGAAGGGAATGAGGTGTCGGCTGGCACCGAGGATGAGCAGGGGGAAGGGAAGGTGGGGTGTTGCTGACATGCAGCGGCCATCCCCGCACCGAGTCGGCCACCTCCATGGGCGTCTTGGAGACCATGCACCCGTGCTTCCAATAATTAACCTGTCCATACATCGTCGCAGGAGTAAGAAATCGTGCACAACCTTCCGCTGGACTTCAAACAGGAGGGGGGGAAACAGCGGGACGGGTTCCCCCTGGGGCTCGACTCGGTGGAATTAGGCCCAGGCACCCTTCCTGGCGGAGTCAAGATGGGGAGGTGGAGGGCAGAAGGGGGAGAAGAGGGGAGGGGGTGGGAGGAGGGGGGGGAGGGGGGACAGGGGAGTGAGGGAGGGGGGAGGAGGAGAGGGGAAAGGGAGGGGAGGGGGCGAGGGGGGAGGGGGGGAGGGGGGAGGAGGGAGGGGGGGGGAAGGGGGGAGGAGGGGGGGAGGGGGGGAAGGAGGAGGGAGGGGAGGAAGGAGGGGGGAGGAAGGGGCCGTGGGAGGAGGGCAGGCGGCGCGCCGCCGTGCCTGGCCCCAGCACGCCCTGGGGCGGGTCTCGACCAGCTGCCCGTTGGCGGAGATGGCCAGCTTGTACTGGAGCCTGGGGGTGCCCGAGGGCGGCTCGGGAGAGGGAGCCTCCCTCCACGCCTCCCCGCCTCCCTCCCCGCGGCTGCCGACGTCCCGCCACCCCTCCTCCCAGCCTTCCTCCCACCCTCCCCAGCCCACCGTCTCCACGTCCTCCCCCTGCTCCGCCGTGCTCCTGCGCAGTAGCGCCAGGAGCCAATGGGAGGGAGCGGCGGACGAAGAGCACGGCGATGAGGAAGAGGGCGCGGAGCAGGCATCAGGGAGGAGATGAGGCCGATGTGAGGTGTCTCGCATGCTTGGCACACTCTGCACGCAGACACCCTCGTCGCCTGGATGGCACGTTGAGCGTTCTGGTGGCATGCTGGCCTGCAAGACGGAATGCCAGAGACTAGCATGATGAACAAACATATGTCAGGTGTTGCCGTATCGCTCGCACTCTCGTAACTGTCGGCTTGCGGTGGGCATAGGAAGCCTCGAGTTGAGCCCAAGATGACCCAAGATGACGTTTAAGACAGCGCTAGATGACCCGAGGAGGGCAGCTTGCTCTGGGTGGCCTCCAGGCTTCGCAGAGATGTCCCAGAGGCCCAACCCCAAGAGAGCCCAAAGAGGGCATCAAGGCTACGTGCTTGTGGCTCCAGACTTGCAACAGCAATTGCATCACCCTCGCCAGTCTCTCTTCTTCCAGCCGACTGCCTCAAGAATCCTGCCAGAAAAGAGGCAACGGAAGGCTCCCAATGGGGTCCCAAAGGAGTCACGTGAGCGTGCAAAAGGGTGCCGGAAGGGCACGAACACAGACCCAAGATGGCCTGAGGGTGCCTACAAGAAGCTCTCCGAGAGGGCCAACATCGGCGGTAACCGTATTACTAGGACTGGTTGGGCGGGTTCATCCTCAATGTGGGTACGGAGGTTCATGAAGGCACCGACCACACTCCTGGCATGGAGCAGGGGAATAAGGGAAGGACAAGGGAGGATGGGGAGAAGAAATAAGGATGAGGATGGCAGCGTGGAACATGTAACAGGACGAGGAAGGCTCGAGGGAACGAGGCAGAGCGCAGCCGTCCAACAGGTCGGACAGCTGAAGATGAGGACGGATAAAGGAAGAAGAAAACGGGGGGATCGCTACCCTACCCATCCTCCCCATCCCCCTCATCTCGCATATGACAGTGGGTAGAGGTCAGCAGATCTCACTCGGCAGCCAGCAGCGCTGCAGCATGGGCGTCGCGCCGGAGAACACACCCTCCCCCGCGCTGCGCACGCGCGCGGGGAGCCCGAGGTTGCCGACGGGGAGGCCCATGACGCGGGTGGGGTAGACAACCAGGGGCTTGATGTCCTCTCCGGCTCTCGGACGCACTTCGCACGGGGGAAACGAGGGTCCCGAGGGTCACGGGCCCTGGGCCCCGGGCCCTTACAGAGGACCAGGCCTTCACGCTGAGTCGTTCTCTGGGAAGCCCAGCACGGCGAAGAACCAGGGGACCCGTTTCCCTCAGGATCCGCTTCACCCATGGCGAGCGCCCGCTCCTGCTCCTCCTCCTCCTCCTCCTCCTCATCATCATCGTCATCATCATCATCATCATCATCATCATCATCACTACTACTACTAGTACTACTACTAGTACTACTACTACTACTACTACTACTACTACTACTACTACTACTACTACTACTACTACTACTACGACTACGACTACGACTACGACTACGACTACGACTACGACTACGACTACGACTACGACTACGACTACTACGACGACTACTACTACTACTACTGCTACTGTTACTGCTACTGTTACTGTTACTGCTACTTCTTCCATTACTACTACAACTACTACTTCTACTACTAC